TAAATAAAATAAAAAACGTGAAATTACAATACCAAAAACAGAGCCTTGTGCAATAAACGGGATATCTTTCTGAACATTTTACTATAACTTTGATACAATAATGTCATATAAGCCAAATTAAATTGTTTAATTGATTTATAAAGCTAATTAATTTAGAGTCAAACCAAAATTTATTCAGACACCTTCAATATTTCTAATGAATATGAGCAGAACTCTGTTAATTAACATTACAGTAGGTAAGGCATTATAACTAACATGAACTAACCCAATGAGCAATAAATGTATTACTGCATATTTAATAAAAAATAAAGCAGTTCATTGTTTGTTAGTTCATAATATTTTATTAAAGTATTAGTGAATGTTCAAATGACCAAATATTAGTTCAGCAACCTTATTGTAAAGTCTTACCAATTTTTATGTTTATTTTTCAGTTTATTCTGCTCTCCCCACGTACATAAATTAGTTAAAGTGTCCTGCACGCACTAATAAATAAATAAATAATAATGATTTTTGGTTTGACTGTATATCTTTTTTCTTGAAATTAAGCCTTGTGCTATGCAAAGGGTGTTTGTTTGTGTGTTTATGAGTTGGTTGGACTGTGCAGAGAGATTTAAGGGTATGAACGAAACCGAATGTCGTTCAACTCTGACCGGAGCGACAGGTGGAGTCGAGCCGGAGCCCAGAGTATCCGCCTTTCTCGGGGACCCGGAGACCCCAGATACGGTCAATCTGGGCTTCAGTATATATACATCGAGCTGGCTCTGTCTGGAAGAAGGAGAACGCATCGAAAACAAACCTCTGTAACAATCGTGGAGATGTATATTTCCTTATCATACACCCAGCCGTCCATACAGGTTTCTCGAGGAATATCCGAGACATTCACATCCACCCACGGGAGCAAACCCCTGTCCGAGTAGTTCTTCACGATGTCCACTCGGTGTCGGGAGCACTTGCTGAGGCGAGACTCCTCGTCCAGGGGAACGGACGCGTTTCTCCACTCAGCCGTGATGTTCAGCGCCGCGGGAATCAGACAGTGATGAACGGGTGTATCGCCCATGAAAACCATGGATAACCCCGTGAAGCCATTGGGAATAATGCTGAAACACAACAGAATGAACAGATTCCTTTGGAAAGGTCCCCAGTCTCCCAGGAACGCGGTGCTGTCATCGTAGTCTGGAGAGTTCATGATAGTCGCAGCACATCTGCGACAAAACCTTCTTCTTCGCTGTCAACACGTCTCGCTAACTCCTCATGGGCAGCCTGTTACCTCCACCTACTGTATAGCTTACATGTGTGATGATGTATCTGTATTGTTTTACTTTTTATGCAAGGATGTAATGCTGCCACACCCCCCTGAGGCTCAGCTCCCTCCTCCAGCGTACGAACTGAGCTCCTCAACCTCCAGGATGAGCAACGCGCCGCGATCCGCGTGTGGCAGGCCGTGTTTACATTCATCACTCGTGATTAGGGTTGGGGATCGTTTGAATTTGAACGATCTTGATTCCGATTCTGCTTATCAATTCCGATTTTTATTGATTCCTAATTTCGATTCAAATAAGGTAAAAAAAGTAATAAATAAATAAAAAACAACAATATCTGATTCACATTTAGTCAAAATGCAAAACATGTAATTAATTGTATCTGAATAGAATGAGCAGAAATCATCAGCTAAAAATGCTGGGTTGTTTTAACCCAACTTTGGGTCAAATATGGACTAACCCAACCGTTGGGTTACATTTTTACATTACATTTTTAACCCAACATTTCGGGTTTGTCCATACTTGACCCAAAATTGGGTTAAAACGACCCAGCATTTTTTAGAGTGTACTTAGACGCAGCGTTTGCCCGTGGTTTAAAGGGATAGTTCACTTTGAAATTAATTGTTGGTATGTTTTAGCTTACCTCAAACACCATGAAAGAACAAGCCTGTGAACATTTTAAAACAAATTAAAAATTAGCAATGCAACAAATAGATACAACTAGCTACTATACAACTAAGATTTTCAAGTACAAAAACTGTAATCAAATTTAAAATAACACTGGACTTTATAAATAAAATATACATTACAAATATAGTTACAAAAGTTATTCAATCAAGAACAAGTGGATTTTCTCTTTGCGTTTTGTTGTGTGATTAGTAGCTATTATCATAGAGACGACAGGAATATTAGTGCTGTCCCTTTAAGAGCTGTACGGGTCCAGTACGCTGACACACACACGTCTGTAGCTCTGAAAACACGAGTCGTTTAAAGTCATATGGAAATGTTCACAAATGAATCGATGAGAGGAATCAAAATTTTAATTTAAAAGAAAAAAAATATTATTGAAATACACAATTACATCATTACTCACAGATTTATATATTTTTTTGATATCAATAATTAAATTCCAACTTGTAAGAACTACAATTCTTGATATCTGTAAATGTATTTTCATTATAGACTGCCATTCAAATTCAATTGTTGATATGAAGAATTGATTTCCTACTAGTTGAAATTCCAATTTCACAAATCAGAAATACAATTTTTACTTGTAAAAATCATAATGTTTCATATCAAATATAACTTTGTTACTAATAAAAATATTAGCTGATATCAAGAACTCAATTTTGTATTTCAGCATTTATCTAGGGCTATCTGAGAATTACATTTCTGATGCAGGCCTATATCATCAGTGTGATAATAGTATGTCAGAACGCCGGCTCATTATTGGCTGACCCTGGTTGCGTGACAAAATAAAATATGCATCTGCACACACAGACGATTCCTCGTATTGGACAAAACCTCTCCAGCCTTAGAAAAGATCCTTTCACAAGGAAAAGAGGATGCAGGGGGACATAAATATGCCAGTGCCAGCTGGTATAAATGAGGAGACTGATGCTGGGCCCAGAAGAGGAGGATCTCCTCTTTCATGCTGGCTCCTTTACCAGGGAAAAGGAAGAGTCCCAAATCTAAATTAAAAAAAACAAGACTATAATATAGCTACTATAATTATTAATAACTCTCGTAAGTGGAGGAGGACAAGAAAGGGGTCCTCGGTCCCACAAGGCCTGGAGACCTGACCTGAGCTCTTCGCCCTGCCGACGCCATCCAAGACTAAATTTCTTCTCGTCAGACTTGCTGAGCTAGAGACTCTTCATGTCAGGCCTGCCGGACCAGAACTTGTTCACATCAAGTCGTGTCAGATCACCCTATCCCCTGAGGCATCAGATCCTCGGTCGCCTGCACCTGATCCGCCCCGGCCCTCAGTCAAGACTCCAGACCCGCCTGAGTTTCCTTGTCTCTGCAAAGAGCCATAGGGACTACGATGCTGTCTTTGCCTAGACTACCCTCCCTCCCTTCTTTGTCTTGGTGTGTAATGCTGCCTGTCTAGTCAGTCTAGATGTCTTACGGCGGAGTCTCTATCGTTATCACCGGCGGCCATCTTGTCACAGGCAAGCTTTCTGGCAGGCTCTGTGTTCCCTGATGTAAGATGAGTGATCCGCACAATCTCGCTTTACAAACGGTTTGGTTTCTCACAAACGTTATTAACTTGGCTATAATTCTGGATGATTATTTAATAAACGTATTATTCATAACTACGTCTCTGACGTTTATAACCAAACCGTTGAACCGTTGAAAATTGAGCAAGTAATGGTTATTAGTAAAGTACATTCACCATTGAAACACAATGTTACGAGTGACTGAGGTGCCTGTGACAAGATGGCCGCCAGTGCGGACGTCGACCTCCATTGGCCAGCAGCACGGATGAGACATCTAGACTTTATTATGTATATCTATGTGTCTAGTCGGTCTCGTTTTTGATGTCCCTCATTGGGGATGTCAGGAGGTGTCCCATTTTGGGGAGGTTCTGTCTAGTTGAGGTCTTGGTTTAGTGACGGAGCAACAGAATGATCACAGAATTTTCATTTTTGGGTGAACTAACCATTTAACTGATGTTATTGAACTCATTGCCACCATATTACATCAAATTGCAGTATCTTATTGTTTGAAATAATATAAGACTGTTTCTTTTAATGTGTATTCTGACTTCCCATTGTTTTTAGTATTATATTTAGGAAGTTGTATGTATTGTGTAAGAGACTGCCGTTGTTAGTTTGAAATGTTTGTTTGGTCAATAAAAAGTAAGAGATGAGATATCCTGTCCCATTTTAGGTACATTTAACCATCTCTGAATAAGTAATATTTAATTTCTATTAACTTATTATTAATAAAAATGAAGTAGATTAACTGCCTGCTACCAATAGAGTAATTATTACTCTTTTTTTATTATGAGAAGTAATTAGCTGTGCAATGTATTGAGAATTATTAGGTCGATTTTTGTTTAGTGTGTCATAGCCATTAAATGTATAGGTGCTCTTTACTCAAAAATATGGGATGAAATCTGCCCAAACAAAGTGAGTGCAAATTGTTACATCAGTTAATGTAGATTTGTTTTTACAGAAACTCTTGCAGATATTTGGGTAGTAGACCTGACATTACTTTATAAATAAAAACACACAGTCTATTATGTAATGTCGTCCAATTTAATGTGTGTCAGTACCCAACAAAAGTACAGTTATACCCTCTGCTTTCCATCTGTACAATAATTTATACATTTCTGTATAAAATCTGAACAAATTGCTAATTCTCTTAGTCTGTTCAGTCTATTATTATTGGATGGAATATACAGACAGTTTATCGGTTATTCTTAGACTTATTTTTGTCTGCATACTGTATATACCCGATTAAATGGATCTGTTGATCTGTAGGGTGTGGCGGCTGCCGGAGGGCTATTCCAGAGAGCAGGTTATGTGGCATATAAAGCTATGTTTAAGGGTAGTTAAGTGGATAGACTCGCATTGCCAGAACTTCAGAATGACGACCGAAAGTCTGCTTTCATTGGCCATCTGATTGACATCTAAATTACAAAGACAGCGAGTCAAGCTCTTCCTTCAGTAAGCATTAGACCTTTTAGAAGCAGTATTAAATGGGTAAGATTTACTGGGGACACAAGGGAGAGACGCTGTTAATCAAAGCTCACTTTATTGTGCACATATGCAGAGTTCGTATAGTCTGTCTGTACATACAAACATCAATGATTAAACAGAAACTTGAAATGACTGGAGTGCAGAAACAGGCCTATGGCTTCTTTCTACTAATATATAAAGAATACTGTAATTCAATGGATGCGCAGGTTTTTCCTGATGATAGAAACCCATCATTCTGCTTTGCTCCATTTTACGGGACCGGGGAGTTTGTCTTGCAGTCTGCACAAAGAGAGAGAGAGAGGTTGATGAGTATATTTTGAAGAACATTGGACTAAACTGACTTTCATTGTATGGACACACACACACACAAAAAACATCAACAAGAAATTAAGTAAGTTTTAGTCCATTTTTGAGGATAATAGATTGGTAGATTAGACCTGAGGGACAAGATGGGTTCATAACAGTACCGTTATGTGAACTGTCTCATTGGTTTGCACCAGAGGTTTGAGCTCCTGAACAAAAGGGATCTGCAATTGGTGTAAAAGAGCCACAAATACAGTATTTACAGATTTGTATAGGGATGCAGGGCGAGAGCTGGAGTGGATGAGAGGAAGTCTTGGTACATGTACCATATGAAATAAATAAAGCCAAACTGGTTTGCAATAAGTGAATATGGTAATGTTGTTTTTAGGAGTTACAGCATGTAACACACACAAACATGGACACACACTCGATCTGGTGATCTCATGCTGCCGTGTCGGACCACTATTGTGTCTTCTTAAGATTTCAGTAGCAAAACTGTGAGTGATAAGAGAACTGTCAATAAGCGCTATCGCACAGCTGATTCAGCCGTGGCCTTCACGGAGATCATGTCATCTCGCCCTTATGTTGAGGATCTTAGTCTCAGGCTCTCTGAATGTATTAACTGTGCTGCTCCTATAAAAACAAAGACTCTGTGACATTTAAAGCCCCATGGAGAAATAGTACATCACACCGTAAAATAAAAGAGCAGAAAGGTGTTACACTTTTTGGAAAGAGGCAATGTCACTTCCGGGTGCAACACATTTATTTTTCTGTATGAAACACAAGAAAATGCAATGTTCAAACAAGGAGCACATTTCTCTGCACATTCGCGCTTCATCTCGTGCTGGACTACTTCTATACTCTTATCCTGTGATATATTCACAAATTATCTTGACTCGCATGACTGATGTCTAGGCTGATACGTCACACTAGACTAGACTCCTTACAATACTCCATTTTCAGAAAATACATGTTCTTTACACAAACACATTAACATGGATCTAAACATGTGCTATGCCCGTTATTAAACTGATATAAAAGGAAAAGGTCTGAAAAATAACATCTTTAAAGTACAATAAACTCTATGAGTCATACATTTAAACTCAAACAAGCATGTGAATAGTATTTGGAATTAAAATAGATTTTCAGGCATCAGCAATAGTTCAGTCTATACCCACATTACTCTAACATTGATAAACTGCACGTGTATTCCTAATACTCTTTCATATCACTGTTTAACTTGTCTTTAATCTTTTTACTCTTCATGAAATATGCTAATGACCTGACTACATTATGAACTAAATTTTAACCATTTAACAGTTACTGTGTTATCACTATGAACTCACAAAATTATTAATAAACTGTTTTACCTGCTCAATCTGACTATGGTTCTTAATTTAACAGTATGAACGTCCTTTATTTTTTACATGTAATGGCTGACAAAGCAATGCTAAATGAGGGTCACGTGTATATACGAGGCTAAGAACAGTCACGTGTGCCTCATTAACTCCAATTGCCCAGACTTGTCTCTACACGCATTTCAATCAATGTTCATACACATATATTCGGTTAATTATGCCTCATCCCACACTCACGTCGAGTATATATGCTTCTAAACCTTTATTACTCCGTTTTGCTCACGTTAAGAGTTACTAGTTTTCTACTAATTAAAATAGTTAACACTCCCGTCCGCCATTTCACGACATAACTCTTAATCACCGTTAAAACTTCACTTTTGTTAACGTTTCAGGCACAAACTATGGCTCTATAAGAATATAATACTGTTATACATATACCAGTGTAAGGTTATTGTCAGCTTACCTGTATGAAACACAAGAAAATGCAATGTTCAAACAAGGAGCACATTTCTCTGCACATTCGCGCTTCATCTCGTGCTGGACTACTTCTATGCTGCTAACTAGTCAGCCACTCATGCGCCGCGCAACTCCCGGGTGCCCCCTGCTGGCGACTCCGAGTCTCACCAAATTGAACACAATGAAAGTCATACAAGTAACTAATGATAATATGAACAGTTTGAAATTTAAAGGGGGGTGCTTTGATATCTGTCCCATTTTACATTCTTAGTGCTACACTCTCCCCCACAAAATTAAATGTCTCCTGACATTTCCCAGAACAAGGGAACATTACTTTAGAAAACCTCAGCCATCCAAGGCCTCCAGTAACCCTTCGTCTGCGTTACCTGATTCTCTGTTACCTTACAGTCTCGATTTACCAAGGACGGTTGACCCAATGTGTCATAACTCAGTACAACCGGCTGACGTCTCAGTCTCTGGGGTCGAGGTCCTACCGCATGTCGCTCTCCTAGCGTCCGAACCAGCGGATCGGCCTCTGACTCAACATTCTCAGACCTGTCAGAACTCAAATCAGGTCTCTGAGATTGTAGTGGCACATCCTCTTCGCTTTGTAGTGGCACATCCTCTTCGCTTTGTAGTGGCACATCCTCTTCGCTTTGTAGTGGCACATCCTCTTCGCTTTGTAGTGGGTGAAAGGGTTCTGCCAGAGGATTCAGTGGAGTGGGTCTCTGCTGTCTCCCGCTGCCAGATCTCAGATTCCATTGGTAGGGACCACTGCCTTCATCGTCAGAGGTGTCACTTGGCTCTGGTTGCTGCTGTTGTTGTGGTTTGGTTCTTTTCTTTGAGGAGCTCCGGGAGTCTTTCCATGGCTGACGAAGCCCTGCTGGTGGCTGATCAAGAGGTAGGAAATCACAGGGCAACAGAAGATTTCTGTGAACCACTCTGTCCCTTCCTTTGCCATTTTCTGGACTGATCTCATAAACGGGACTCCCATCAGCTTTCCTCTCCTTCACTCTGTACACCTGACCTTCCCAGTAAGATTGAATTTTTCCAGGCCCGCCTCTGGGAGTGAGATTTCTGAGAAGGACTCTATCACCTGGCTGGAGGTCTCTTCCCTGCACTTTCCGGTCATAGAGGACTTTTCCACGAACTGCTCCTTTGACCACTGTTTTAGCCGCAATCTCGTATGCCTCTTGCATTCTTGTCTTCCATTTACTCACGTAGTCATCATAGGTGTCGTGGGCCTCATCTTTTTCAAGACTAAAGAACAGATCAATGGGCAGGCGAGGAGAACGTCCAAAGATAAGGAAATAAGGCGCGTAACCCGTTGCCTCGTTCTTGGTGCAGTTGTACGCGTGGACAACTTTCGCGAGGGACTCCTTCCAATCCTCCTTCTCCTCGTCCTCCAAGGTGCGCAGCATGGACAACAGGGTACGGTTAAACCTTTCCACCTGCCCGTTACCCTGGGGGTGGTATGGCGTTGTGTGTGAGCCCTGGATGCCAGAGAGTTTCTTTAAGCTCGCCATCAGTCTGTTCTCAAACTCTTTGCCCATGTCGTGATGTAGTCTGCTTGGGAACCCGAACTTGAGTGCAAAATCGTTGAAAATCTTGTCAGCTACTGTTTTGGACGACTTATTCCTTGTTGCGTAGGCCTGCGCAAACCTAGTAAAATGGTCCATGACCACCAGTATATACTCATAGCCATGCTTGCATTTTTCCAAATGCAAGAAGTCTATCGAGACGAGCTGAAATGGATAAGTGGTCTGAATGGGCACCAGAGGTGCACGGCTCTGCTTACTCGGCTTCTTCTTCTTGAGGCATTCACACACCTTACTGACAAAATGTTCAACATCCCTGCTCATCTGTGGCCAGTAAAATCGTTCTCGTACCAGGTCGAGTGTCCTTTCGACCCCCAAGTGACCCATGTCCTGGTGCAGTTCTTTGAAGACCAGAGGATGATAAGCTTTGGGGAGCAGCAGTTGTTCTCGACGGGAAGTTCTGCGGCGCAAGACGCCATCTGGACCAACTTTAACCTTGAGCCATTGTTTCAGCAATATGGCCACTGCGGGGCTCTCTGCTTTCACTTCAGATCTACTTGGCCTCTTGTTCTGTGACTTGTACCAGAGGACTCTGGACAGGATTTCATCCTCTTCCTGCGCTTTGCGGATTTGATCTGTGGTAAGAGGTTTGCTGGTCTCCCGGTCCTTCACTAAGCTCAAAGCACTGACCTGGATCCACCCAACACCCCGGCAAGGGCTTGTCTTTTCCGCTGTAACTCTCTCCATAGATGCACTGATGACATCTTGACTGGCCTCAGCCGTACAGCTACACATGTAGTCCTCAAAGTCCAACGGCATCCTTGATAAGCCATCTGCATCGGAGTTGTTTTTGCCTGGGCGGTACCTGATTGTGAAGTTATAATCGGCCAGCTCCGCCACCCATCTGTGTCCTGTTGCGTTGAGTTTTGCGGTTGTGAGCACATACGTTAACGGGTTATTATCTGTATATACCACAAATGATGGGGAGTGATAAAGATAATCCCGAAACCGTTCGCAGATGGCCCACTTCAACGCTAAAAACTCCAGTTTTCCAGAGTGCAGATGGTACCTCTTCTCTGCTGTACTCAAGGTGCGGGAGCCATAGGCAATCACTCTCATCCTCCCCTGCTGTCTCTGGTATAACACCGCACCCAGGCCAACTTGGGATGCGTCACAATGCAATACAAATTGTTGGGTGAAATCTGGATATCCGAGGACAGGCGGCTTCGTGAGTGCATCTACCAGCTGATTCAATACTTCCTGATGGGAGCTGTTCCACTCTATAGGTGTCTGCGATGGTAAGTGACCCTTGTTTTTCTTTCCTGTCTTACATGGCTTCTTCATGGTCTGGTCTAGAGTGCCTTTCTCAGGGTTAGGGACTGTGAGTAAGTCATAGAGTGGGTGAGCCACGCGGGAGAAATTGGGAATAAAGGGTCTGTAGTAAGAGAGAAACCCAAGGATCTGGCGCACATCACCCACTGTGGCAGGGGTCTTCTCTTTTAACGCCTGCACCGGAGCCACCTCTGCAGGGTCCATTGTGTACCCCTCTCCAGTCACCAACTTGCCAAGAAACCTCACACTCGATTTAAACAGCTCACACTTCTTTGGGGTCAGCTTCACACCGTGTTCCTTATAGCGCTGGAGAACAAGACGGATGTGCTCCACGTGTTCCTCAAAGCTACAACTGTGTACCAGGTTGTCATCCAGGTACGGGAGGCAACTTGTGTCCCTCAGCCCAGTCAGACAATGCTCCATGCTCCTCTGAAACTCTGCGGGTGCCGAGCTCAGGCCAAAGGGTATGCGCACCCATTCATAGAGCCCCCAGGGTGTGATGAAAGCTGTGAGCGGGCGGCTCTCCTCATCCAGATAACC